AATTCACATTTCTCTGAACTTTGCAATGCAGTTCTCTAACCAAGAAATGCGTTTTTTTAAAAAATACATATCCAAGAATAAAGTGTGCATATAGAGTTGTGAGGAACAGTCAGTAGACGCTGCAAGGGAGAAGTACTGATGTTTTTGAGTTTTGACTATAGTGTGGTTTTACTCTGTATACTCTTTATGTTTGTTTTAAAACTAAATCAGAAATACATTTTAAAAGATAAAGTACATATCAGGGGACATTGTACATATCAGGGGAAATTGGGTTTGTCAAAAAATGTGTATACTGTGGGAAATTGAACATAAAATGTGCACAGTAAGAGAAATTCGTGCAAAAATACTGAAAAATTGTGAGAGGCAAAAATTCATAAACGGACGTGCAAATGTAGATAACCGAATTTAAGATTGGGAAAATGTAAAAATCAGAGAAGCCAAATTTGTCGTATTCATTCATCCAAAGGAGAGAGAATCCTGTCACAATTGACACTCTTGCAACCTCACTGAGGTGACTAAACTATGCCTGGACTGTACCATCTCAGACGGAAGGTCTGAAAGTCACATGATGAAATAAATGCAGCAGTATTTTAAAAACGGCCTCTACCTAATTAGGGAGAAGGGTGCCAAGCTAGCCTTCTCCCCATTGTGCTTGTTTTCTATTTGCAGGGATTTGTGTGTGTGTGTGTGTGTGTGTGTGTGTGTGTTCTTTCTCAAATGATCCCCTACTTAAACTTTGAAGGGGCACTGAGTGTGAAACAGGTTTCCTACATCAGTGAGAAGTGGGCTATAGATGTGGCAATTAGTCGAGGATTGCCTGGATGAAGGACAGAAAAGTTTGTGAGAATGTGAATAGAAACTAGCCTCCTGTGCAAAAGTCACATTTATTGCTCGGGTGCCTTTTGCTTCTGCCCAGCACTGACGCAAAGGATTCAAAAGGGTCCCCCACTGCTGGCTGAGTATTGGAGCCTCAGCTCCAGTACTTTGGCCACCTCATGAGAAGAGAAGACTCCCTGGAAAAGACCCTGATGTTGGGAAAGATGGAGGGCACAAGGAGAAGGGGACGACAGAGGAGGAGATGGTGGGACAGTGTTTTCGAAGCTACCAGCATGAGTTTGACCAAACTGCGGGAGGCAGTGGAAGACAGGAGTGCCTGGCGTGAGTGTATGGTGCTTCGTGCCATGGGGTCACGAAGAGTCGGACACGACTAAACCACTAAACAACAACAACAACTGCCGGCACACAAACAGAATGAGATATCCTGTTCACAGAAGGGTACCGAAAATCTAGATCCAGCCCAAAATGTTTTCCTTAGTATGATCGTGTTCAGTGATCATGAACACATGGCACTCATGTTGATAAAGGTCGCTGTGGTTTCTCCCCCCCCACACACATGACACGTATGTGTGTTCTCCATCCTGACTCCATCCTGAGGCAAAAAAATTGACCCAGGGCATATTCTGCTCCAGATCAATGAGTATGTGAGATAAATATATGGTACCGATTGTTTGCTTCCTCTTGTTTGTGAGAAAGTACATCACAGTCTAGGACCCTCATACCTACAGGACCACCTCTCCCGGTATGCCCCACGGAGGACCTTAAGGTCCATAAATAGCAACACCCTAGTGGTCCCGGGCCCTAAGGAAGTTAGATTGGCCTCAACCAGAGCCAGGGCCTTTTCCACACTGGCTCCGGCCTGGTGGAACGCTCTGCCTCATGAGACCAGGGCCCAGCAGGATCTGATTTCTTTCTGCAGGGCCTGTAAGACAGAGTTGTTCCGCCTGGCCTTTGGCTTAGAATCAATTTGATTCCTTCCCCCTCTTTCTTTCTTTTTTCCTTTCTCCTCCTGTGAAGAGGCTGCATTTTAATGTTTTAATGTTGTATTTTAATCTTGCTTTTAAGTTGTATTTTAATCAACTTGTTTTTATTATTGATTGTTAGCCGCCCTGAGCCCGGTCTTGGCTGGGGAGGGCAGGGTATAAATATTATTATTATTATTATTATTATTATTATTATTATTATTATGTGTGTTGTTCTCTAAGGCTGGATTCAGGTGTTGGGCAAATAGAAGCTGAACCCATACCTGCAGATTTCGAAAAAGAGGGGGGGATATTTTGAAAGACACCTGTTGCAAACCAAATCGTTCTGCAAACATTTGCTTTCCTTACTTTAAAATTAAAGCAAAGTTCGTGTATATAATTTTTAGGGCAACCTACAGTTTCCGCTTGATTACCCTGTCATGTTTAATGCAACAATATATCAGCTGCTAATAATAAAAAAATTTAGCTCAGTCCTTCTCTCTGGAGAACTGATCTGAACCATGGGGCCCTAAACCGTAATGTCTGCAACAGACATGCTACCCAATTAAATTGTTAGGGAACAGGCTTTTATATCCTTAACACCTAATTTGCTATTGTTTCTTTTAAAGTGTTTGGCTTCCCTGTGGCTTTTGTGCTCCTTCTTCTGTTTTATGGCTCTCTCTGTGTCTTGTGTTGCATTGCATGCAAGTATTCTTGAGGCCTACTTAAGAGTCCCCTCACAAATTCGGTACAAGGGAAAACATGGGACCTGATCTCTTCCCCACAAGCAAGATAACACCACTGTGCCAATGGGGCAATTAGACCCTTTGAGCAGCAATTTTTGTAGCACTTTATTAGTGACAGAAGTCCAATTTCCGCCTTATTTTCTTCCTTTGAAGGAGATTGAACATGAAGACAAGCAATGAAATACTGACTGTGAACCTTTCAAGTTGCAGGAGAGATGGCCAGATTCCTGATACTATGTCAATAACTCGTATTGCTGAGTTTTTGTAGAGAGTAGTATATTTGTTCCGAATTTGAAAGAGGGAGAAATGAAATATGGTCAAAGTACAAAGCCGGATTTAGGTTTGATGATGCCCTAAGCTACTGGAGATAATGGGGCACTTTATATGTCCAGCTGTCCTTTGTCAACAACAAATTGTTGCTGTTTTTTGTGTTGAATATATGCTGTATGGTAATTTATGGACCTAATAGGTATCTAAAGCCATTTGCACATAACAAAATATGTATTTTACCAAAGTAATTGTTGAAAAGTCCATGCAGTATTCAAAGTCCATGCAGAATGTAGGCACCCTATATATGTTGTTGTTTAGTCGTTTAGTCGTTTAGTCGTGTACAACTCTTCGTGACCCCATGGACCAGAGCACGCCAGGCACTCCTGTCTTCCACTGTCTCCCGCAGTTTCGTCAAACTCTTTCTGGTAGCTTAGAGAACACTGTCCAACCATCTCGTCCTCTGTTGTCCCCTTCTCCTTGTGCCCTCAATCTTTCCCAACATCAGGGCCTTTTCCAGGGAGTCTTCTCTTCTCATGAGGTGGCCAAAGTATTGGAGCCTCAGCTTCACGATCTGTCCTTCCAGTGAGCACTCAGGGCTGATTTCCTTCAGAATGGAGAGGTTTGATCTTCTTGCAGTCCATGGGACTCTCAAGAGTCTCCTCCAGCACCATAATTCAAAAGCATCAATTCTTCGGCGATCAGCCTTCTTTATGGTCCAGCTCTCACTTCCATACATCACTACTGGGAAAATCATAGCCTTAACTATACAGACCTTTGTCAGCAAGGTAATGTCTCTACTTTTTAAGATGCCATCTAGGTTTGTCATCACTTTTCTCCCAAGCTATCTATATATAGAAATGAGCAAACCAGTGATATTTTAGGGAGCAGGCTAGCAGGTGGGGAACATTACTTGCATCATGGAAGCCTACACAACACAAAACACTGTTGCTGTATGTAAGTTTTATTTTATTTGTTTTTATCTTATATTTTGGAAATGTACATCCAGTTGTTTTTTCCCCTTTAAATTTTTTGGGAGCCCCCAAGAGAGTGGGGCCCTAAGCTATAGCTTTTTTAGCTTATACGTAAATCCGGCACTGACTAAGAGGGGAATGAACCGAATCAGGCACATTTGGTTTAATTTTCAGTTATTCCAAAATGAATGCACAAATGGGCATGAATGGCATTTGGTTGGAGGACGGATGGCGGCTAACAGATTGAGGTTGAATCCTGAATGGGGCAACTGTGCCCCTGAAGGACCAGGTGCGCAGCCTGGGAGTCATTTTGGACTCACAGTTGTCCATGAAGGCGCAGGTCAATTCTGTGTCCAGGGCGGCTGTCTACCAGCTCCATCTGGTACGCAGGCTGAGACCTTCCCTGGCCCCTGGCCGCGGACTGTCTTGCCAGAGTGGTGCGTGCTCTGGTTATCTCCTGCTTGGACTACTGCAATGCGCTCTGCGTGGCCACCGGGACCACATAACACCGGTCCTGAGAGATCTGCATTGGCTCCCAGTACGTTTCTGAGCACAATTCAAAGTGTTGATGCTGACCTTTAAAGCCCTAAACAGCCTTGGCCCAGTATACCTGAAGGACCATCTCCACCCCCATCATTCAGCCCGGACACTGAGATCCAGCGCCAAGGGCCTTCTGGTGGTTCCTTCATTGCGAGAAGTGAGGTTACAAGGAACCAGACAGAGGGCCTTCTCGGTAGTGGCGCCCACCCTGTGGAACATCCTCCCTTCAAATGTGAAGGAAATAAGTAGCTTTCCTATCTTTAAAAGACATCTGAGGGTAGCCCTGTTCAGGCAAATTTTTTAATATTTAATGCTGTATTGCTTTTAACATTTGATTGGAAGCCGCCCAGAGTGGCTGGGGAAACTCAGCCAGATGGGCGGGGTATAAATAATAAATTATTATTATTATTATTATTATTATTATTATTATTATTATTATTATTATTATTTCCATTCCAGACTCCCATTCACTCTCATTTCTGGGCGGCTGACCTGGTGACAGGAGCAAGACATCAGTGGAACCTGCGCAAAAATGGAACTTTTACTTGCACCAGCAGTGTAACATGGGAGCAGTGAGCCAACATGAGCTCATCCTCTTCCATTTGGAGAACTGAGAAACTGCAACTTGTAGCTTTCTAGCTCATGGAAGAAAACAGGCAATCTTGGAAGACTTTGCTGCTCCCATATTTGTATAAGTCGCCCTCTGATGTCTACTCAGAACTGACTTCAATCAGAAGCTCTGTATGGCCAAACCTATAGAGAGGATAGGGAGACAAGTTTCCTTGCATTAGGGACAGTTGTTTTCTTAAAATATTTCGCATGCTGTGCATTTCATATGGGAGAAGATGAGTCTTTGAAGAGAAACAACCCAACAAAAATAAGGAGAGAGAGAAAAGGTTACTTAATTTCAATAAACTAAAAAATTCACATAACGAATTTATTTGTAAGTGCAAAGGAAAGGTGTCAAAGATGGGGTGATTTTATAGAAAACTGGACTCCATTGGTTGAACTTTACATATTGAATTTACTCAGGGCTTTTTTTCACCCGGAACTCTCCGGAACTCAGTTCCGACACCTCTCAGGTGGGCACCATTGCCTTCCAAAGAGAACGAGCGAGGTGAGGTGTTCATGGTGAGTTCCAGCCCCTCTTTTTCTAGAAAAAATAGCCCTGAATTTACTTATACCTAGTTCACAATTATGTTAAGGGATAGAATTTATTGTGGTGATGTTTTAAAGTCTATTATGAAACAGATAGTTACAGTGCTACCTTGGGTTAAGAACTTAATTCGTTCTGAAGGTCCATTCTTAACCTGAAACTGTTCTTAACCTGAAGCACCACTTTAGCTAATGGGGCCTCCCGATGCTGCCATGCCACCACCGCGCGATTTCTGTTCTCATCCTGAAGCAAAGTTCTTAACCCGAGGTACTATTTCTGGGTTAGCGGAATCTGTAACCTGAAGCATCTGTAACCCGAGGTACCACTCTAATCGAATCCAAAAGTAGATTTGGTTCTCTTTCCTTCCAGGCTGACTGATTGTTAAATCTGTGGATATCCTAAACTCCTGGATCATGAGAATTAACCTAGCACAGGGAAACTCACAAGTTCATGTTACTTTCCTACAGCTGTTGAATGGTATAATATTATTGGCAACTATTATTCATGTTGAGACGTGGGTGGCGCTGTGGGTTAAAGCACAGAGCCTAGGACTTGCTGATCAGAAGGTCAATGGTTCAAATCCCCGCGACGTGGTGAGCTCCCATTGCTCGGTCCCTGCTCCTGCCAAATTAGCAGTTCGAAAGCACACCAGTGCAAGTAGATAAATAGGTACAGCTCCGGCGGGAAGGTAAACGGCGTTTCCATGCGCTGCTCTGGTTCGCCAGAAGCAGCTTAGTCATGCTGGCCACATGACCCGCAAGCTGTACGATGGCTCCCTCGGCCAATAAAGCGAGATGAGCGCCGCAACCCCAGAGTTGGTCACGACTGGACCTAATAGTCAGGGGTCCCTTTACCTTTACCTATTATTCATGTTGGCATACACGTATCAGATACAGGACCAGCATTTCACGATTATAAAAATGGGAAGAACACGAGAGTGCAAGAAGAAACAGGGCAAAGAAGCAGAAAAAAACATTCAAACCGTTAAGGTCAGGCCATAAAGAGTCAATGGTTTGTTCTGGGTCACTGACTTTACAGATAATCAAAGGCAGAATCATTTGTCAAGGATATTGTTCATTTAATATTTAGGGATTATGGGAGGTATTCAGTTTAGACCCATTGAAATTAAAAAGGTAAAGGGACCACTGACCATTAGGTCCAGTCGTGGCCGACTCTGGGGTTGCGGCACTCATCTCGCTTTATTGGCCGCGGGAGCCAGCATACAGCTTCCGGGTCATGTGGCCAGCATGACTAAGCCGCTTCTGGTGAACCAGAGCAGCGCACGGAAACGTGTTTACCTTCCCACCGGGGTGGTACCTATTTATCTACTTGCACTTTGACATGCTTTCAAACTCCTAGGTTGGCAGGAGCAGGGACTGAGCAAAGGGAGCTCACCCCGTCGCGGGGATTCGAACCGCAACCTTCTGATCGGCAAGTCCTAGGCTGTGTGGCTTAACCCACAGCGCCACCCACATCCCGCCCCATTAAAATTAATGGACCTAAATTGTGTTTATTAATTTCATTGAGTCTACTCTGAGTAAATACTACGCTTAGTTTGTTTTCATTCTGTGTCTGTAACTGTTTGTTAACTACCTTGAGTCTCTTTGATGAGATCACTTAGCAAATTATGCAAATTGGTGGCTGTCACCAATGGAGGCAAAGGCATTGAAAAAAACTAATATGGAGACAAACTGGCCAAAATATTGTGAAATCTTAGAACAAGTTGGTGATAAACTAAAATTGCAGAGCTTCGACAAATTAAAAACTAAAGTTCGAGATTGGCTGCATTACTATCAAATAAGGGAGGTTTTTAATTTAGACAAAAAGATCGGTTTCCAGGATGAAAAATCTAAACTGGAAACGGAATTGTTAGAACCTAAAACTAAAAATCTGTCAAGAATGTATAATCTGCTGTTGAAATGGAATACACAGGATGAAACGGTCAAATCTGCTATGATTAAATGGGCGCAAGATGTTGGGCATAACATTATGTTTGCTGACTGGGAACGGTTATGGACCACAGGTATGAAATTTACGGCTTGTAACGCCTTAAGAGAAAATATAATGAAAATGATTTACAGGTGGTACTTAACCCCAGTCAAGCTAGCAAAAATTTATCATTTGCCTGATAATAAATGTTGGAAATGTAAAGAAAACGAAGGTACTTTTTTCACCTTTGGTGGACGTGCCCAAAGATCAAGGCCTTCTGGGAAATGATATATAATGAACTAAAAAGGTATTGAAATATACTTTCTTGAAGAAACCAGAGGCCTTCCTCTTGGGCATGGTCGGTCAATTGGTGCGAAGGGAAGACAGGAATTTTTTTATGTATGCGACAGCAGCAGCAAGAATACTCATTGGGAAATACTGGAAGACACAAGAATTGCCTACCCGAGAAGAATGGCAGAGAAAAGTGATTGACTATATGGAACTGGCTGAGATGACCGGCAGAATTCGAGATCAAGAAGAAGGGTCGATGGAAGAAGATTGGAAAAAATTTAAAACATATCTCCAGAATTACTGTAATATAAAAGAATGTTAGAAAAGGTTGGAGAAGAATATTAGACCGTATTGGCAGACAGAGTATAATGGAATTAAGTAAATATGAAGTGTAAAATAAAAGATAGAGGAGAATTAAATATTTTTGAATGTTAAAATAAGTAAATGAAAAGAAGGTTAGAAGGATTTGCTGGAGATACAATTTGAATTAGAATACAAAGCAGAGAAGTGAGAGGAAGTCACGGAAATAAGTAAATGGGAAAACGGCTCTAATGGTTTAAGTTGAATTTTTCTTTTGTTATTTTTTATTGTGATTTTTTGTCTTGTGTATTTTTCCTTGTATTGTGTGATTTTCTTGTAGGATGTATGTGATTAGTTTTTCTTTCTTTACTTTTTTCTTTTTCTGTAATCTTAAAATTTGAATAAATATTATAAAAAAAAAAAAATTATGCAATTTCTATCATGCCTAACAAAGATTACTAAAAGAGGTCTTGCCCCCTCTATCCTAATGCAATCCATTAATAGGAGAACTTCCCTTAGTTAAACGCAGAGTCTTTGGCTCATGTTATTTTGCCCTTGGCAAACATTATTTTGCCCTTGGCATCACATCAGTGCAGAGAGCTTAATGGTGCACAATTTAAGGTAGGAGGGATGTTTGTTCTTGGAAGACCCTGGATGGTATTATGAATGTGCTAAATGAGCTATTTTTCTTTGTTGGAATCAAGAGCTAACTGTGATGGATCCTTCGCTCGCTCGCTGACTCACTATGTTTTAGAATTCTGTTGGAAGGCCAACAAAATTGCACAGAAGAGTGCATGTCTGTGATCTAATGAACATTATCTGCTGGAACTTTCGAAAGGCATTTTTAAAAAACCCCTGGCCCAAAGGAAGCACAGGGATCATGGAGCAAGAGGATGAATCCTTTTATGGATTTGCAAATAGGCAAATGGAGGATTCAGACAATGGGGCAGTCTTTACAATAGACAGTTTTCAGTGGAGGGAGGTAAGCAGGGAATTCTGGAAGAGGTGTACATTGGTTCTGTGCGCAGCCTGAATTACAAGTCAAGTAGGGGTGATCTGGATGAGGTTATCACATTCCCAAGTTAGCTTGCACTGTGAGCAAGGCATCTCAGATCAGATCAGGGATTCCTTAAATTCCTAAGTCACTCACCTCAGTACAATTTTCCTCTCTCACACTCCAGTTGCAGAGCTCTTCTTGTGACTCCTTGCTGTCCATTTTTTTAAATTAATGTTTATTTTCCCTTTGCCTCCCTTAACGTAAGTTCTCAGGTGTGCTGCTCATTGTCAGCTTAATTATTACCCATTTACCCATGGGTTCCTCCTTCATGTTTTCAGACAAATTGCTCACCAGACACTAGGTGCTAGATGATTTCTATTTTACCCACCTCAAAATGGTAAAGTCTGTCATTACAGAAGCACTGATATCCTCATCATTTTGAAAGCTGGCTGGATCCATCTTCTCAGATTGGACAACCATGTCTGAAAATTGCACCCAGTTCTGGAAGAAGAAGAAGAAGAAGAAGAAGAAGAAGAAGAAGAAGAAGAAGAAGAAGAAGAAGAATGGACTTTCTTCTTCTTTAAAATATATAAATGCTCCTGAATTAAAATCCTTGTGTGGATCTGACTGCAATTTGGCAAGCTTAATCCACTCCAGAGGAGCACTTTTGCCTGCAAATTTCAGCTAGTTCTGTGAAAAGGGGGGTGGGTAGAAGAGTGATGGCCATTTTTAGGTTCCCCTAAAATAGGACTGTGTTCTGCAACAGTTAAAAAATACAAAATCAGGCTGTAATCCTATGCCCACTTATTTGGTAGCAAGTTCCTCTGGATTCAGTAAGGCTTACCTCAGACTGTTAGTGTTCAGAAATGTGAAGAAAGACACAACTGTTGTAATTAAATTCAGGGTTGCCCTATTTTGAAGAGCAAAAAAGAGGACACATTTGCCGCCTTCTGCTTTTAACTATGGATCTCTGTGATGACTCTCCTTTTACATACCCATCAAAACAAGGATGTCTCCTGGAAAAAGAGGACATATGGCAACCGTAGGAGACTTTCAGGACATCAGCAAAGGCCTGGTGATACCGCTCTGCCTTGCAGGCCCTGCGGAAAGATGTCAAGGCCTGCAGGACCCTAGTCTCTTGTGACAGAGCGTTCCATCAATGTTGATGGGATGAAACGGAAAGCGAGAAAAGCACTTGGCCACCTGGAGCTTCTCGGAGGATTTGCGCCAAATAATAATTAAATAATAAAATGGGGACATTGAGGGGGCTGCTAGCCAATTCACACAATCAACAGAGGCCTGGTACCTGATGTGCAACGTGCCTCTTTAAATCTAAGCCTTCCATCCCAGTGACCAGGGAGGATGCTAAGAAACAACTGGAAACCAAACACAGACATAGGATTAATGTTGCTCTCAGCAGCAGACTTCTTTCCTGCATTAAAGTCAACACATCACCGAACACTTACTTCACATTCTCCCTGGGGTGGCCCATGAATTCCCTTTATAAGATTAAGGCAGGCTCCATCTCTTCCCCACCCACCACCCACCCCGCCCCGCAAAATAATTTGCATTTCTTTAATTTTCGCATCAATAGACTCATTACGGGCCTTTCTGGCCTTGCGGTTTCCTCCTTAATGTCTCCATCGTTTTCCTTCTTTTCATTCACGCTCCTTTTGCATTCATCCCTTGTCCCAAATTCCTCTCTTTGCAGTTAAAAATAACAGAGTTGCCAATGTTTTGGAAGCTGCTGGGATGATTTTTCTTTTCCCTGGAAAAGGTTTTCCCCTCTCTCTTTTTTTGCCCTCCCAGCCTCGGAGTTCAAAGGGACAAGTTTCCAGGCACACACAGGCACCCTTGCCACCAGGAGGGAAGGAGGTGGGGCGAGGAAATATACTGTTTTTTCCTGCAAATATTCATTTTGGTGTCAGCTAAGGCTATGATATTGCTGCCATTAGGCCAGAAAAGAGCAAACGAGTTAGGCAGACAGCAAACATGAAGGTGATTTTTTTTTTTTTAATAGCAGCATAAAAGATCAGGGAAGTTGAAAGAAACGATGAGAAGCTACAGATTGGATCCAGTAGTGTGACTCATGCAACACATTGGCGATTAATATACACAGAACAATAATTATACATACTTTATCAACCTTCTGAGAAAAATACAAAACATTAAACAGAGCCACAAAGACTTATAATGTCTGGTTTCAATAGATTTTTCAAAAGCTTAACTCAGTCTACTGGATAAGTTCATGAAGATACCAACAAAAGGTAAGTTCGGTGATATTCACAGTACCGAGAGATGATAGTAGAGTTGTTGTTGTTGTTTAGTCGTTTAGTCGTGTCCGACTCTTCGTGACCCCATGGACCAGAGCACGCCAGGTACTCCTGTCTTCCACTGCCTCCCGCAGTTTGGTCAAACTCATGCTGGTAGCTTCAACAACACTGTCCAACCATCTCGTCCTCTGTCGTCCCCATCTCCTTGTGCCCTCCATCTTTCCCAACATCAGGGTCTTTTCTAGGGAGTCTTCTCTTCTCAGGAGGTGGCCAAAGTATTGGAGCCTCAGCTTCACGATCTGTCCTTCCAGTGAGCACTCAGAGCTGATTTCCTTAAGAATGGATAGCTTTGATCTTCTTGCAGTCCATGGGACTCTCAAGAGTCTCCTCCAGCACCATAATTCAAAAGCATCAATTCTTCAGCAATCAGCCTTCTTCATGGTCCAGCTCTCACTTCCATACATCACTACTGGAAAAACCATAGCTTGAACTATACAGAACCTTTGTTGGCAAGGTGATGTCTCTGCTTTTTAAGATGCTGTCTAGGTTTGTCATTCCTTTTCTCCCAAGAAGCAGGCGTCTTTTAATTTCGTGACTGCTGTTACCATCTGCAGTGATCATGGAGCCCAAGAAAGTAAAATCTCTCACTGCCCCCATTTCTTCCCCTCCTATTTGCCAGGAGGTGATGGGCCCAGTGGCCATGATCTTCTTCTTCTTCTTCTTCTTTTTTTTTTTTGATGTTGAGCTTCAGACCATATTTTGCGCTCTCCTCTTTCACCCTCATTAAAAGGTTCTTTAATTCCTCCTCACTTTCTGCCATCAAGGTTGTGTCATCTGCATATCTGAGGTTGTTGATATTTCTTCTGGCAATCTTAATTCCGGTTTGGGATTCATCCAGCCCAGCCTTTCGCATGATGAATTCTGCATATAAGTTAAATAAGCAGGGAGTTGTAGAGTTGTAGATAGATGTTAATAAAGTTGTAGACAATGAAGTTGTAGACGACAGGGTGCCGGTGTTTTGCACCTTTCTTGGTTTAAGCTTAAGAGACTGATCTGCTTAGCTTAAGGCAAGAAAGAGTATTCTCTATAAGATTGAATATCAATACACATATCAAGACTTTGAGATTAGACCACTGAAGAAGCCTGGAAAACTATCTTGGGAGTGTGCTACCTGCAAGCCCAAGTTAAAGGGCCCCATCGGGGGCGAACAGCGGCCTTTTGATTACTTGGACTGCCAGGGCAAAACAGGTGCACAGTGCCGGCACCCTGTCATCTACAACTTCATTGTCTACAACTTTATTAACCTCTATCTACAACTCTATAAAGGGACGCGGGTGGCGCTGTGGGTTAAACCACAAAGCCTAGGACTTGCCGATCAGAAGGTTGGCGGTTCGAATCCCCGCGACGGGGTGAGCTCCCATTGCTCGGTCCCTGCTCCTGCTAACCTATCAATTCAAAAGCACATCAGAGTGCAAGTAGATAAATAGGTATCGCTCCAGCGGGAAGGTAAACGGCGTTTCCGTGCGCTGCTCTGGTTCGCCAGAAGCGGCTTAGTAATGCTGGCCACATGACCCGGAAGCTGTACGCCAGCTCCCTCGGCCAATAAAGCGAAATGAGCGCCGCAACCTCAGAGTCGGTCACGACTGGACCTAATGGTCAGGGGTCCCTTTACCTTTACCTTACAACTGTACTAGCATCTCTCAGTATTGTAAATATCACCGAACCTACCTTTTGTTAGTCTCTTCATGAACTTATCTAATAGACTGAGTTAAGTGTTTGAAACATCTATTGAAACCAGACATTGTAAGTTCATTTTAGGCTGGGTAGTTTGCAAGTTTTTGTGGCTTTGTTTAATGCTTTGTATTTTTCTCAGACGTTGATAAAGTATGTATAATTATTGTTCTGTGTATATTAATTGCCAACGTGTTGCATGAGTCACACTACTTCTATCAGCAGCACAGGTTGCATTTTTCTAACAGGATGGACCCAGCCTAGGTTCGCCTCACTTCCTGCTGAAAGCAATGGGTCTTAAGAGTTTGGATTTGATATTCCGCTTTATCACTACCCGAAGGAGTCTCAAAGCGGCTAACATTCTCCTTTCCCTTCCTCCCCCACAACAAACACTCTGTGAGGTGAGTGGGGCTGAGAGACTTCAGAGAAGTGTGACTGGCCCAAGGTCACCCAGCAGCTGCATGTGGAGGAGCGGAGACACGAACCTGGTTCCCCAGATTACGAGACTACTACTCTTAACCACTACACCACACTGGCTCTTTTTTTATATATATATAAGATATTTATTAGGATTTTTAAAATATTACAATAAAAATGAAAAAGAAAAAAAATACAAAATAAAAATGATTAAAAACACTCAGATTTTCTATTACTTATTTTTCCTTAGCTTGTTTCCCGGACCTCCTCATACCTCCCTTTCTTGTATTCCAGTTCAGTTTGTTGGTTCAGCAAATCCTTACCCTCTTTATTTATCCTAATCTTTAGTCTTAAAATAGTAACTTTAGATTTTTATCTCTTAACAACCCATTTTTCATATTCCCTTAAAGCATTACAGCTGGAAACCACTTAATTTCTATCCTACATCGTTCTGACATTCATTAATTTTACAATATTTCTGTAGATAATCTTTGAACTTCTTCCAATCTTCTTCCACCGACTCTTCTCCCTGGTCTCGGATTCTGCCAGTCATTTCTGCCAATTCCATATAGTCCATCAACTTCATCTGCCATTCTTCCAGAGTGGGTAAATCTTGTGTCTTCCAATACTTTGCGATGAGTATTCTTGCTGCTGTTGTGGCATACATAAAAAAAGTTCTATCCTTCTTTGGCACCAATTGGCCGACTATGCCCAGGAGAAAGGCCTCTGGTTTCTTCAGGTAGGTATATTTAAATACCTTTTTCAGTTCATTATATATCATTTCCCAGAAAGCCTTAATCCTTGGGCACGTCCACCAAAGGTGAAAGAATGTACCTTCAGTTTCTTTACATTTCCAACATTTATTATCGGGCAAATGATAAATTTTTGCAAGCTTGACTGGGGTCATGTACCACCTGTATATCATTTTCATAATATTCTCTCTTAAGGCATTACATGCCGTAAACTTCATACCTGTGGTCCATAACTGTTCCCAGTCAGCCATCATTATGTTATGTCCAACATCTTGTGCCCATTTAATCATAGCAGATTTCACCGTTTCATCCTGAGTATTCCATTTCAACAGCAAGTTATACATCTTTGACAAGATCTTAGTTTTGGGTTCTAATAGTTCTGTTTATTGGCTCTTAAGTCACTGTGATGAAGTATCCACACTGATTTCACCAGGACCTAACTTAGGTTGCATTCCCAACCATGCCTCTTGTCACGGGCTGGTTGGACACAGGGGAATGCTGGGAGGAATCAGCTAGGGAACCACCAAAAGGAAGAAGGCTCAGACCCCAGACAGTGGTAGTGGGATAATGATACTGTTCATAGGGAGAAGACTGGGAAGAGGATGTGTCAGAAGCTGAAGAGGTAACAGGATTTATTGAGCTGTGAGAGTCCGTGGTAGAGAGAAGTCCTGAAGCTGAAGCTGGAGAGTGGATGAGAGATGTCAAGAGGCAGAGATGAGTCAGGCTGATGAAGAGTCATGGGTGTCTCCTCCTTCTGCTGAGGTCCAGCGCCGAGGGCCTTCTGGCAGTTCCCTCATTGCAAGAAGTGAGGCTACAGGGAACCAGACAGAGGGCCTTCTCGGTAGTGGCACCTGATGTCCCACCAGATGTCAAAGAGAAAAATAACTACCAAGCTTTTAGAAGACATCTGAAGGCAGCCTTGTTTAGAGAAGCTCTTAATGTTTAATAGGTTATTGTATTTTAGTGTTTTGTTGGAAGCCGCCCAGAGTTGCTGGGGAAACCCAGCCAGATGAGCGGGGTATAAATAATAAATTATTATTATTATTATTATTATTATTATTATTATTATTATTACTATTAGCTCCCCACCACCTTGTCTCCCAGAACCAGAAGAGGGATGAAAAGGGCAGAGGAGAGGTTGGCTGCACGCAGGCAAAGTCTCTGATTGCTTGGGGAAAGCCCTGGAGAGGAGAAGGCACAGACAGCTGTGGGGAGGAAGAGACCTTTAGTCCCGGCAACCGATTTCATGGAGTAAGACCCACTAGGAATGAGCTGCCATGCTCACTAGGCCTGACACACAGCCAAGTCTGTGGAGACCATGGTTTTGCTAACCAAGAGTTATCTCCAACCCAGGACTGTGTGGTTTTCTGATGCTTGTGCATTTACCTAATTCAACTCACAGTAGCTGTATTCCATCTCCTGGAAGGTCAGGAACACTTCTTGTCACCAAAGGTAATACAGTGGTCCCTCGGGTTAAGTACTTAATTTGTTCCGGAGGTCCGTACTTAACCTGAAATTGTTCTTAACCTGAAGCACCACTTTAGCTAATGGGGCCTCCTGCTGCTGCTGCGCTGCCGAAGCGCAATTTCTGTTCTCATCCTGAAGCAAAGTTCTTAACCTGAAGCACTATTTCTGGGTTAGCGGAGTTTGTAACCTGAAGTGTATGTAACCTGAAGCGTATGTAACCTGAGGTACCACTGTAATGGCAAAGAGTTGGCACTTCGTTTTTGTTAGTGGTGGTGATTATCTTTTCCTCTCTGAGTTAAAGTATTCAATAGGGATGCCCTACTGATTTCATCTATGCCCATTCCGCAGATTTTCTTAGGTGTGGATCTGGCTGCATGAAGTTGGTTTTTCCTCTGCTGTTGACAGACCATCACTTCAAACTTAAGAGACACTCCAGAGCTGTGGTGTCTGAAATCAGGAAGCATCCATGATGCTCAGCTGAAATATGGAAAGAAAGGACTTCTCACATGCTTGATGGGCTTAAAAGGAGGGTTGCTTACCTTTAAATGTTGTTCTTCAGCTGGACTTCTGTGTAGTCACTGTGTTGGGACTTCTGCAGCTAAATTTAGTTTAGCTTTGCTTAGTTCAGTTTAATATTTGTATCCTGCTTCTCTGTTCAGACCATCAAAGCATCTGAAGTACATCTGAATAGCAACTCAATAAGCTCCCACTGATCCCACTAATAGTTTTAAAATGGCAGGTCATACACTAAAAGTTTATTGGTTCTTTTAAAAATATTAATGTTTATTGAAAGAATTTCAATTATAAAGAAATAAATGGTACAGAGAGAAAAAAGGGGAAGTGGGGCAAGACAAAGGGGTGTATGAGAACACACACACACACACACACACACACTGCTTTTTTCGGGGGGGGATAAATACCCCTAATCATTTTTGAAACTTTGTACTTTTGTCCATTTACTGTATTTATTTTTCCCAATTTGAGCCATAAAATGGTGATTTTCTTGAGTCAAAATGAGAGTACTCCTAAATATTTTTCTTAGGAAAAAAAAAGCACTGTGTGTGTGTGTGTGTGTGTGTGTGTGTTTGCCCCATGTATAAGATGCCTCCTATTTTTGGGAACTCCAGATTAAGAAAACACCCCTCAGCACTACCCGTGTATAAGACAAGCCCCAATTTTAAACCTCATTTTTTTGGCGGGGGGAAACAAAACCTAGTCTTATACACAGAAAAATACAGTATATATTGTGTGTAATGTAATATACAGTGGTGCCTCGCAAGACGAAATTAATCCGTTCCGCGAGTGTCTTCGTCTAGCGGTATTTGTAGATATTAAGCAACCTACTATTAGCTGGATTAGCTCATTCAGCGGTTTAGCGGCTATTAAATGATGCTTATTCGAGCTTAGCGGATTGCAAGCTGCTAAAAGAGCTATACAAAGGCTTAGCGAGCTTAGCCATAAGAGGGAGCAAAAAATAACTCAAGACTGCACAAGACATTTGAGTCATAAGAAGACAAACACAAATATGGAAATTCGTCCTGAGTTAAAGTAGATCAAAAACAGATTAAACCCTTTACGTCCTATGCCTGGGCTTATTTCCATGACCTCCTCTCACCTCGCAATTTTGTATTCTAGTTCAGATGGCATTCCAGCTAGTCCTTCTAACCTTATATCACTCCTATATAAATTTAATAATGTAGTTACGTTATCTATCTCATCAATTCATCAACTCATTTTGTAGATATTTATATCATATCTACCAAAATGACCTAATTTTCTTTTTCCACGTATAAACTCATTCCAAATGCTGTCATGTTTATCCAAACAGAAGTCTACATCTGTAAGCAGTCCGTTCATAAGTTGCGAGTTTTGTCACATTGTCAGTCCATTGATTAAAGGGTGTCATATATTTATTATTTCACTTCATCAATATCAGTCTCTTAGCTAACATTAGGGTGTGTAGAATCCTTTTTTGTTGTACTGTTGTTAATTTCCATACAGTATATAGTTTTAGAAAAACACACCAAAAAAAACCTATTTCTCTTAGAAAGAAAGAAAGAAAGAAAGAAAGAAAGAAAGAAAGAAAGAAAGAAAGAAAGAAAGCTTTACTAATAATCTAAAAATAGAGAAAAAGGAATGCTGGTGAATCTCATGGTGGAGAGAATTTTACAATCTTGGGGCCACCACTAAACAGGCCCTATCTCTTGAACCTGCCCACATATTCTCATAAGTGAATAGAAGAGGAACTGAGTCTCTGAGGCAGATTGGAAAGGAAGGCAAGTTCAAATGGAAGAAGTCTGTTTCTGAGGCTGTCTGGTCCTAAGTGAGATGTGGGAAATCCATAGCCCACCAGATATTGCTGGACCACCATGCCTCATCATCCCTGGGCATTGGCCATGCTGCTCAGGGCTGATGGGACTTGAAGTCCAACCACATCTGGAGGGCCACCCTGCTCTCAACCATAATCCCAAAGTGGATTTGAGTTTATGCTAACCCAAGCACACCCATTCCTGATTGAACAGGGAGACATGTTCCACCCAGGGCACTGTGCTCAGTTTGTTTGACCAGAACACTATCACAAGGGGTATTTCTGTATTTTGATAACTTTGGGTCATAGGTGGCAGATATGCCAAGGAAAGAGAGACTTGCTGTTCCTTCAACACCATGGCAAATTAACCCTATGTCCCCATCATTCTTTCAGGATTGCAACTATTTCAAGGAAGAACTAGAGGCAGCAACAACCTGCTATGCTCAGGGCTGGTTGTAGAGACAAGTATGTTGTTGTTGTTTAGTCGTTTAGTCGTGTCTGACTCTTCGTGACCCCATGGACCACAGGATGCCAGGCACTCCTGTCTTCCACTGCCTCCTGCAGTTTGGTCAAATTCATGCTGGTAGCTTTGAGAACACTGTCCAACCATCTCGTCCTCTGTTGTCCCCTTCTCCTTGTGCCCTCCATCTTCCCCAACATCAGGGTCTTTTCCAGGGAGTCTTCTCTTCTCATGAGGCGGCTAAAGTATTGGAGCCTCAGCTTCAGGATCTGTCCTTCCAGTGAGCACTCAGGGCTGATTTCCTTCAGAATGGAGAGGTTTGATTTTCTTGCAGTCCATGGGACTCTCAAGAGTCTCCTCCAGCACCATAATTCAAAAGCATCAAATCTTTGGCGATCAGGCTTCTTTAGGGTCCAGCTCTCACTTCCATACATCACTACTGGGAAAACCATAGCTTTAACTATACGAACCTTTGTTGGCAAGGTGATGTCTCTGCTTTTTAAGATGCTATCTAGGCTTGTCATTGCTTTTCTCCCAAGAAGCAGGCGTCTTTTAATTTCATGGCTGCTGTTACCATCTGCAGTGATCATGGAGCCCAAGAAAGTAAAATCTCTCACTGCCTCCTTTTCTTCCCCTTCTATTTGCCAGAGGGGCAAGCATATATTTCCACATTCCATGTCTGATAATATTTCGAGATAAGATATACTCTGCCCTCTTCTAGCCACTTCAGAGTAGGCAGGCAAGAATAAGAGATGCGATCCAAAGGCTTCTGCAGTGATGCTCAAGTGTTCCTCAATAATTTAGATGTGGAGATTGTGCTTTTGGGTTTTTTTAACCTTGTTTCGGTCACAAAGTGGCTTGCGAAAGATAATCCAACGCAGCACAATTCGAATGAAAGAAATGAGGGATCGCTGACTCTTCTTATTCCTCTGCTAATGCTCTGGTATTCTCTTAAAGTGTTCCTTCATCCCAAGACTTGGCTGTCAACTTTGTGCATTTTTATTAGAAGGCATCCAATGATTTAGGGTCTGCTCTTGCTTGCCAAGATCAATTGAATGCCTTATTTATTGATCAGGCAGATTTGTCCCCAGCCCTTCCATATAAATATGTCCAGTGCAACTTCCAATATGTCTGTGTGTGCATGATCTTAAAACTATTGTTGTTGTTGTTATTATTATTATTATTATTATTATTATTATTATTATTATTTTAAAAATGAGAGAACATGAATGAAAAGGAGCAAATAAAATTCCATCATTAAAACAATGTCATCAGAGCTTAAAAGACTTGAGATTTTTATTTATTTTTAAGGTTATTTTCCCAGCACTGTACAGTGGTACCTCAGGTTTCAGACTTTTCAGGTTACGCTATTTTGGGTTGCGCACCACGCCGAACCCGGAAGTACTGGAACAGGTTACTTCCAGGTTTCAGCGCTTGCGCATGTGCAGAAGCAATAAATCGTGCTTTGCGCATGTGCAGAAGTGCCGAATCGCAACCCACGTGTGCGCAGACACAGCTCTGCGGGTTGCGAACGTGCCTCCCACACAGATCACATTTGCAGCCCGAGGTTCCACTGTAATTAAAAAAATACACAACCTATCTGGCACCAGGTGAGTCTCCCTAAGAGAAGCATTCCACAGACAAGATGCTATCTCACCTGATAGGTGTTCTCTAGATACCACCTGCCTCACCTGAGATGGCAGGGGCACCCAGAAGTAAGCCCTCAGAGATTACCTCAGTGCAGGGGATGCGTCTGGCAACTGGGTCTCACACCCTGTAGAGCAGCGGTTCTCAACCTCTGGGTCCCCAGACGTTGTTGGACTACAACTCCCATCATCCCTGAGCTCTGGCCTTGCTAGCTGGGGTGATGGGAGTTGTAGTTCAACAACATCTGGGGACCCACAGGTTGAGAAAGGCTGCTGCATGAATGGGGATCCTGGGGCCTCCAAATGTTGTGGAACTCCAACGCCCATCAGACCATGGCCATTAGTCAGAGATGGAGCCACTCACCACAGACGTGTGACAAACACCCGAGAAGGTTACCCAGAAAGGAAGGCAACCCTTACTATTTGAATTATATCTGGTCACCAGGATTGGTTGTTGGTCTTGGAACAATAAAAAGGTTCATATACATCTTCAAACACATGTTCCGGATCCATATGTAATTCTATAATAGCTTTAATGAAGTCCAAATATTGGACCCTGGTGTGTGTGTGTGTGTGTAGGGGTTATCAGAATCAATCGTATACTCACTCATAAACTCAGAAAGTGCTCACATGGTAATGTAAAACCCTTTTCATCTTGAGATTTCCCTGTAAAGGAACCGGGCTGCATTAATCTGTGTCAGCTGCAAAAAAGCTAGGCCTGACCCAAAAGGATTTTTATAAGGATAAATATGAAATGTACAGAAGCTTACTAGTTACAAAGCAAGCTGTGCAGCCGGCTTCCCAAAGAGGCTCTCAGCAAGAGTCAGGATGACTCAAGAAGCTGTAGGAAGTTTTCAGTCCATGTGCAAGTTCCATGGGGTCAATAGGTGGTAATCATGAAAAGGTTTGTCATTCATAATTAGTGATGAACACAAATAGGTAAAGGTAAAGGGACCCCTGACCATTAGGTCCAGTCGTGGCCGACTCTGGGGTTGCAGCGCTCATCTCGCTTTATTGGCCGAGGGAGCCGGCATACAGCTTCTTATTTATTATTAGGAGATAATTGGGGTGGTTGGGTGAGATTTTGACTGCCTAGGAGCCTCTATGAGGTTTAATCTGACACAGAAGAGCACAGCTCAGACCAAGGGAAGGGAAGGATTATCCAGCCCAATATCCTGTTTCCAACAGTGTTCAACCAGAAAAAGCCATCATTAACACCAACATCACATTTCTGCCCTGGGGTACAAATGTCAATAATGACCCACATAGAGATAAACTATATCAAAAAAATGGTAGGATTAAATGATCAGAAATTCATAGCAGAACAAATGTATAGATGAACAGCACTGATCCCAAATGAAAACATCGACATGTATATTAGGGTTGCCATACGTCCAGAATTTATAGATTTTGGCAAGTTTCCTTAAACTACTTCTTCTTCTCAACAAATTTTGTGTCCAGATTTTCACTTTTTGAAATATGGCAACCCTACATACATGATAATTGCACAGTCTCAATAAATCACCTATATATCTGCAGTATAAAAAGTATGTCTGAATGGATTTTTCTTGTTTTATTCTTCCATAAAGGATTTAAACAATGCCACCCATAGCTCTCTCCCTTTTTCTTTTTTTTAAAAAAAGGTCCTTGAAACTGAAATAAGACCCACCCCTTCCCGTATCACCTAAATCTAATAAAAATATGTAGGTGACTGTTGTTCATTATGTAGTTCCATTATCTGCAGTAAAAACCCATCTGGTCTCATCATGTAGCATATCAGTGTACAGAGATGAATTATCCAGCCTAAGAACTCCTGAATCCTCGTTCCCCTGTCTTGTTCATGAAGGTTGGGATCCAAAGAAAAGCGAGCGGATCTCTACTCCTGCAGATACATGCTATATCCCATGTACCACTTGCCACATTCAGTGGTGAATTCATTTGAAATCTCAATTATATAAAGGCGACCTTAGGACAACTGTTGAAATATACTCGGAGTCGAGAGTGGATTTCAGGCTCTTTATTCAGCTCATGGTGGTGAGGAGGAATGGAAGTTTCCCCAGAATGTCTGCTTTATATACATTATTTACACAATGGGTCCCACGTGATTGGCTAATTCCGGGATTCTACTGTAGGCCAATCAGGTTGCGGATTCACTTCCATCTGAAGCTGGATTGGGTGGCTCCTGTGGACCAATCAGGCTGCTGCATCCTGGGTCCTATTTTTCTAGGACCAATCAGACTGCTGCATTCTGAATCCTATTGTTCTAGGACCAATCAGACTGCTGCATTTTGGATCCTATTCAACTCAGTACATAACAACAACACATTTATTTTTTAAGATATTTAATACCTGGTCCTGAAATAATGGGGCAGTTTCTGGTTCCAACTTGCTTTCGTTGTCGCGAGATTCATCCAGTGAAGGGTTTCTTTCTGTTTTAATTTCCCAAATAATTCTCTTCTTCCCTCTCTTGCCAGTATTAAGGAGTGCGTCCTGTTGCTTTTATTTTGTGAAAGCAGCAGTAGCCACACTTAATAGAGATGAATCAGCAGGCTGGGGGAACCTCCAAGATTTGCTGATATATAATCTGAAAGAAACTGGCAGGCCCCACCCTGAAATGTCCTGGACTAAACATGCTCAATGCCCACAGAGTGTTGACTGACTTTTGGAGTTAGGGGGAGTGGTATTTGGTGGGAGGGCTAATGGAATGGAGTGTTCTGGAGGGAGGCAAAGCGGACTGGCTGGAACAGTGAATAGGAGCGCTACAGGCGGAAACATTTTGCTTTAGGTCTTCTTCATCCGTCTGCAACCAAGGCTGCAATCCTTCACACATTTTTCTGAGAGAAAGTCCCACTTAGCACAGTGGGGCTTCTATCTCAACAAGCATTCACAGGAATTGCGCTATAAAACTGCAATTTGACACCAGCCCACCTGAGCAGAGATGTTCAAATCTGTCAGTTTTGGTTTTTCTCTGCTTCTCTGTTTTCCATTCTTAAATTCTCTCCAATTCCACATCTGCCTGTGAATTTTTTTTTAAGTCCTCTCTCATCAGCATATTGGTGCAAATTTCTTCTAATAGAGACATTATTGTATCCAATTTTGCCTGATACACACGTTTCTTTAAAGGCCCTTTCCCCCCAACAATGCATTTTGGGGTGTTATTTCAATAAAGTATACATTCATATGGACATGTTACACACATTACTTGCCTGGAGTAAATAATAACAATAACAATAAACAAATAACAAATTAACAATAATAATTTATTTATACCCCGTCTCCCCAGCCACTCTGGGTGGCTCCCAATCAAATGTTAAAAACAGTACAGCATTAAATATTAAAAACTTCCCTAAACAGGGCTGTCTTCAGATGTCTTTTAAAGATAGGATAACTGCTTATTTCCTTGACATCTGATGGGAGGGTGTTCCACAGGGCGGGCGCCACAACCGAGAAGGCCCTCTGCCTGGTTCACTGTAACCTCACTTCTCGCAATGAGGGAACCGCCAGAAGGCCGTCAGTGCTGGACCTCAGTGTCCGGGCAGAACGATGGGGGTGGAGACACTCCTTCAGGTATAGAGGACTGAGGCCGTTTAGGGCTTTAAAGGTCAGCACCAACACTTTGAATTGTGCTCAGAAATGTACTGGGAGCGAATGAAGATTTCTCAGGACCGGTGTTATGTGGTCCCAATGGCCACTCCCAGTCACCAGTCTAGCTGCCGCATTCTGGATTAATTGCAGTTGTGGAAAAGTGCAAATTTCAAAGGATGGCTATATTTCAATTCCTGCATTATTTGAGAAAGTGAAAATTAGGCAGCTTCACCATTAAATTTTGCACCCCTGGCAATTTTGCACTCGGGGAGACAGCCCCTCCCACACACTATACCACTGATGTGGACAAGCCCTCTCATAGAGCACATTGGAAAGGCTAAAAGGTATGGTTCAAATGCCGATCATTTTCTTTTTATTCTAGGGCTAAATGAAAATGCCCCCCCAATGCCACCCCATTGAGTCTGAGAGGAGCATTTAGGGATTTTTCAGGGAGTGAACATTCTGAAAAGAGGAATATCATTTGCAGGCAGCTCTGTATTCCCTTTTCTTATTTTATACCAACTTCCAAGACACTGCAATCTACTCACACAATTAAAAACTGGCAGTGATCTACCCCTTTTGGGGGGGTTCAGGTAAAAGTTACAGTGGTACCTCGGGTTACATATGCTTCAGGGTACATACGCTTCAGGTTACAGACTCTGCTAACCCAGAAATATTACCTCAGGTTAAGAACTTTGCTTCAGGATGAGAACAGAAATCGTGCTCTGGTGGGGTGGCAGCAGCGGGAGGCCCCATCAGCTAAACCTGGTACTTCAGGTTAAGAACAGTTTCAGGTTAAGAACGGACCTCCAGAACGAATTAAGTACTTAACTCGAGGTACCACTGTATTGAGCTTTTTTAGGGAGTAAAGCCCTGTACCCGTATTTTTCGGGTTCAGGTCAAAGTTTTCAAAGCTTTTTTTAGGGAGGAAATCCAACAGATCACTAATGAAACAGTCAACTCTGTCTTCCATTCTACCACACTAGAGGACAGGGCGCTGCCGAATGGAGGAGCCAGCGATCTACCGCGTTCTACAAAAACCTTCCGGGTACTGACCAGTTGATCGCGATCGACCTGTTGGACATCTACCATTTTAGTGCTGCTGCCCATGAGGTAAAGTAAAGGTAAAGGGACCCCTGACCATTAGGTCCAGTCGTGGCCTACTTTGGGGTTGTGGTGCTCATCTCGCTTTGTTGGCCAAGGGAGCCGGCGTACAGCTTCCGGGTCATGTGGCCAGCATGACTAAGCCGCTTCTGGCGAACCAGAGCAGTGCACGGAAATGCCGTTTACCTTCCCACCGGAGCGGTACCTATTTATCTACTTGCACTTTGACGTGCTTTAGAACTGTTAGGTTGGCAGGAGCTGGGACCGAGCAACAGGAGCTCACCCTTTTGTGGGGATTCGAACCGCCAACCTTCTGATTGTGCTTTCGAACTGCTAGGTTGGCCATGAGGACAGGCCTTCTTTTTGCAACCGCCATCTAATAGCTGCCATTTCCCCAAGAATGCCCTGACATCGGAGGAAGACAACAGCAACCGAGAGGAGCCCTGTGGCCCCCACTGCAAATAAACAAAGGGAGCCAGGCTACTACCAGAGACCCTCAGTGCTTTCTGAAGAATCTCCTTCCCGTGTCACTCTTATCTGTGAGGTGAGGGAGTTTAATCCTCCTTGAATTTTGAGCTTAAGTTTCGCTCGCCAAGAGCATTGCTTGGCTCAGCCCTACAGTGGTACCTCAGGTTACATATGCTTCAGGTTACATACGCTTCAGGTTACAGACTCCGCTAACCCAGAAATATTACCTCAGGTTAAGAACTTTGCTTCAGGATGAGAACAGAAATTGTGCTCTGGCAGTGTGGCAGCAGCGGGAGGCCCCATTAGCTAAAGTGGTGCTTCAGGTTAAGAACAGTTTCAGGTTAAGAATGGACCTCCAGAACGAATTAAGTTCTTAACCAGAGGTAGCACTGTATTTGTACACAGGGATGTGAGCGTTACTTTGGCCTTTTGCTTTCGACAGAACCAAAATAATGATAAGCATGAGACTCCGAGGCCAGAGAAAGAACCAGCGTCTGTCTGAATGCCTTCACACACACGCATGTTCATTTCGGCATTGACAGGTCTGCAAACAGGAACCATTCAATGGACTGGACTTTCGCTCTCCCCAATTAAGAACAGCCTCTCATTGCTCCCTCCTGTGGATATGGCCAAAGATGAAAATGTACCATCTGGGGTGCTTAACCTCTCTGCCATTCATGCTGCCTTTGCTAACTCTCCAGGGCCCAGTAAGTTCAGTCCCCTTCTTTAAAGGCAGTCCCTCTTTTCTTAAAGTGAACTTCTGAGTAGACTTGAATGAGTCTTTTTTATTATTATTAATATGTACCTTTGGAAACATTCATAAGGGCATTATTTAAGCTAGGAGCAACACCTGTTAGAAATGTTCAGCTATGTATAATTAAACCATTTCTTACAGCTCGGGAAATTTATGGGAAGGCGTAACAGTTAAAGGAATCAATCCCCATTCATTTGTTTAGAAAGGGGTGTGGGGAATTAAGGGCAACCATCACAGCCAGTGGTTACGTCTCTGGAACAAAAGCAACTGGAGAAGACTAACTGTACTTTTCCTCTTAGTTTTATTATCGCCAGAACAAGTTTTAAGAGGGTCACACTCTCTCACACAAAATCCTTTACATATATGTTGCTGATCAAAGGCCCAATCTGCTAGGGTTGCCATATATTTGGAATTTCCCAGACATACCCGGAATTCGGCTGTTGGGAACAGCATCCAGGCAGAAATCGCTGAAATGTCTGGGAAAATCCAGACGTACAGCAACTCATATCGGAAGTGGTGATTTTGGTGATTTCTGGGGGAAATAGCTCTAAAACTTTAAAAAGCTAAACAATTTTTGTGTCTGGATTTTCACCTTCTGAAATATGGCAACCCCACAATCTGCACCATACATTTAAAGCAGTATCATCCTACTTCAAACAGTCAGGACTTCCCCCAAAGAATCCTGAGAGGTGTAGTTTTTGTTAGGAATGCTGAGAGTTGTTTGGAGACCCCTATTCCCCTCACAGAACAACAATTTACAGGGTTCTCTGGGAAGAGGGCATCAGGGACTGTCTTAAGCATATGCGATGCCGGGGTGCAAAGATCTGCCCGGCGACCCCCCCCCCAGGTTGCCCAGTCCCAGGCATGCAGGAGGGAGGAGCTGGCCGGCCGCCTCAGCGTCTCACTGGCTCGGTCGCCCCCAAACTCGCAGCGCAGAGCCACCCGCAGCAGAAGAGCCCACCGCAGTGCCCCGGCTGATGGGTGGGCTCTTCCCTGGACTCAACTCTTGGGCCCTGGACTCTCGGCCTGGCGCCCTTGAGAGCCCAGCGCCCAGGTGCCCCTCACTCCTAGCACCTATGGGTAAGACGGCCCTGGAGGGCCTGATAGTTAAACCACACTGAGAACTTTAGCTCTCTGGGGGATATAGGCAATCTCCTAACAGCTCTCAGCCCCCTTAACACAGTTCAGCCCCAGAATTCTTTGGGAGAAGCCATGACTATTTAAAGTGGTATGGTGCTGCTTTAAATCTATAGTGCAGTTGGGCCAAAGAGCCAGATTTATCTATCGCAATGGGATTTCTCCCCTCCTTCCCTGTGTGCCCCCGCACCCTTCCCGTATCTGCCCTGGAAGGTTGGGAGACTCGCACCCCTCCAGAACAGTGCAGAGGGGGGAGGAGAGGGGATATTGTTCCATTTGGCAAGCGGAAATGTTAGCACTGACCATCCTCTCTTTCTCAAAGGCAGCCCATCCTATTCTGCAACCTGAGGTGAAATGGAAAGATGTCTCCCCTGCTTAAGCCTCACTGACTATGGTCACATCACAGCAGCTTCCGGGCAGATCTTCCAAGATCTTGTCAAAAGCTGTTGCCACACAACCCCACCAGCTGCTCGATGTGGTGGCTTCAGTTCACCACATGGCCAGTCCTGCTCTCTCTCTTATCTATCCTCATTCCTCTCACTGGCAGATAAAACTTAATAAAATCAGCACTTTCATATATACAGGTACATGTTCCTGAAAATCATATAAGAAAGTAGACTTGAACGAAAATATTTTTTTTAGAAAACAGGATTGACCTGAATGAACAAACTCTGTTCTGCTCACGGACAAGCATCAATACGATTCACAATGTTTCCAAAAAGTTTGATGTCAGATGATTCTAGAACCTTCTCCTAAGTTTAGTAGAGCGACATGCAAGGTTTGCTGGCATGGATGCGTTTGTGGTATTGTGGTTTTTGTTTTCCTTTTTTTAAAAAAAAGTAGAATTCAGTCTACTCGCTAATAAAATGTAGCCTCCTCTTTGATGAAACTGTGTTCCAAAAGAGCAGCTGGAGATAAACCGTGGTACACTTGATACTGCTAGTGGAACGTAACGAAGGTAGAATGTGAAACTTATTCCAAGAAGGATTTGGCTTGGACTCCCAGGCTAACCTCCCTGTGGAGCCTTCCATTATCTTGAGTGACAAGGACCCTGACATTATAGCTCACTGTGGAGATGCCCCCCTCCTCGGGCATCAAAGTCAAACAACATTAGCAGAGCACAGAATCTGGAATTCTTTCAGGCACTCTGATCCCCACAATTCCCACAGCATCTGGTAACTGCAGCTTATTAATTGTTTACCAGAATGTTTGCCACTTAAAATGAAGCCATTCCAGGTACTTTGAGCTTAACTGATGCTCGGCCCATGGGCTGCCAGAAGTTTTCCAAGTTTGTTTTCTTCTGTGTGTTGAGAGACAGCGCAGCCCTTTCTCGTCTGGCTGCAAAGCAGCCAAAAAGGGCTTTTGATTTCCGTTCTGGTTTACAGAGCTCTTGGCTTCGATGGAAAGGTGTTTAATGAAGCACGTACCGTAAAGGTATGCGCCCCGTCACAAAGTCCCTACTCCTGGCTCCTTCACAATGCCCTGTTACACAGAAGCCTTATATACATGGAGGAGGCAAAGCAACCTGTGAGGAAACAGAACCTGCAGATGAAAGCTTCCCATTGATGAAATGTCCCAAAGAATGGGCTGAATCCTTAATTTGACTCTGCCTTTGTACAAAGCCCATTTTCCCATTGATTTCAGAGTTAAGAGGGAACAGGCTTCAAAACTTGACTGCAGATCTTGGTGGGTTTGTCATGCACATTTGTAACTCGTCCTCATGAAATTGTTACGCCAAGTGCTCCAGTTCACTGCGTTTGCCGTCTCTAGGAAGGCTGGCATCTGAAGACAGCATCTTAAAAAGCAGAGACATCACCTTGCCAACAAAGGTCTGTATAGTTAAAGCTATGGTTTTCCCAGTAGTGATGTTTGGAAGTGAGAGCTGGACCATAAAGAAGGCTGATCGCTGAAGAATTGATGCTTTTGAATTATGGTGCTGGAGGAGACTCTTGAGAGTCCCATGGACTGCAAGAAGATCAAACCTATCCATTCTTAAGGAAATCAGCCCTGAGTGCTCACTGGAAGGACAGATCGTGAAGCTGAGGCTCCAATACTTTGGCCACCTCATGAGAAGAGAAGATTCCCTGATGTTGGGAAAGATTGAGGGCACAAGGAAAAGGGGACGACAGAGGACGAGATGGTTGGACAGTGTTCTCAAAGCTATCAGCATGAGTTTGACCAAACTGCAGGAGGCAGTGGAAGACAGGAGTGCCTGGCGTGCTCTGGTCCATGGGGTCACGAAGAGTCAGACACAACTAAACAACAACAACAACAGGAAGGCTGGCAAATTTGGGCTCTACATTTCTCAAATTCAAATATTTCACATTAAATATTGGGGAAATATTGGTAATGGTGGTGGGGTGAAATGGTAAGAAGAGAAGACCATATGAATGTTGTTCAAAATATTGATAGGTTTGCAGATTGAAACAAATGCAAGCAATATAATGAGTAGGAGTCCTGGCTTTATAGAAGAGTTTGTGGTTTCTCTGAGCAAGGTTAACCTCTCATGGAGGAGAAGCTGGACAACTTTCTTCGGGGTTTCAGAATTAGCTGACTACTGAAGGACTTTTATTAAACCAGAGACAGAGGATCAGCATCTGTTTTTATAAGGAATTTTTTGATATCTGTATGGGCCCATTACAAGGTCTCAAACTCACCTGGGAGAAGGAAAAGTTGACTTTAATTGGGATGCAATATGGACATATAAGCTCTATAAATCAACCTCTGCTTATTGTAAGGGAATATTCCTTTAAAAAATCTGCACCGGTGGCACCACACGCCTGTGCTGTTTTCTCCTATGACATCAAATACCCCACAGGATTCCTGGCATGGTTGCGGTAGCAGGGGGACATTTTTCCACTTATGCTGGGAATGCCCTCTGGCATCCAAATTTTGGACTGGTATTTTTGAAGATTTTTTTTTTAAAAAAAAAATTAAATAGCCCATTCAAGTCTCTCCACAACTTGCCCTTTTGAACTTGTGGGACGATCAAACAGCGGTTTTCCAATCTAAGAAACTTTTTACATGGATGCTGGCTACAGTGAGAACTTCTTTGGCCCAGAAATGGAAGACAACACACACAGGATTTAAACCTCGCGTTGTGGTGCAAGAATATGTGAACTCTGGCTATTGCAGGGAAAATAACTCACAGATTACCACATTTCTAAGGAAGACCCAGAACGTTTCTATGCCATTTGGTAAGATACCATTTCTTATGTGTTAAATGTGGCTTCTTATGTGTTAAATGTCTCATGATGTGTTTAGCAGCTTTGTTTTTCCACGTTATCTGCTCTCTATTTGGAGAATGCAACTTCTGTACTGCTCCCATGTTTTCTAACTTTGATTATTTCTGCTTGTTTGTACTTGTGATTTTGTATTAATTTTTTAAAAAAACTTTTTTTAGAAAAAGAATTAGCTGGTTTCAGAAAATACAGGATCAATCATTTTCTGCAAGTATGTTATGGACAGAAGGGGCTCATTGTTCTCTGAGTATTATTATTATTTAAAAAACCTATGTAGGGAGGACTCAAGAGGCGCAAGGGGAGTGATCTCCTCCATATATAGGCTGATGCTGGAGCTCAGATATGCTGAAGGACAAGGGTTAAAACCCACATGAAGATTTGTGTCCCAAGGTGCTCTGTATAAAACAAAACTCTGTGTTCCAGGTTTACTCTTACGGGGAATCTAAGAAGGGTTATAACTTTCAACACTTCTTGGTGGAAGCGGATGAAATTTGAAGGCACAGGAGAACTTCCAGGGTGAATTAAGCCTGCCAAATTGCATGGTCTGGGGCTTCTATGAGGAAGGCAATCACTTTCCTCTATATTCCACGTTAGGGCAATACCTTTATTATACAAACTATGGGTTGGGTTCAACTAAACAGTTGTGCTTACAGAAGCCAAAGCAACAAATCCCACTAGTGCAATAGGTTTCCTGCTCTCATTCCCCTGTGAGCTCCCCACTCCCCAAATCAGCTATGGGGAGTTGAAAGAAGCCCCAGAGCAGTGTATTGATGGAGGAGAGGGAAAACAATTCTATCTCGCAAGCAAAAAATTCTTGTACTGACAGAATATTCATAATATTGTGATGTTAGATTCCTCCATAGATCTCCAAAATCTGTACTAGTTTCATACTTTTGAGGAAGGAAAAGGAGTTTATCTCTGGTAAGGGAACCTAATATGCAGGAACAGGAGATTAAAAGCAAGCTAAGAAACCACAGTTTAGTCCAAGATGCAAAGGACATAATTCTCATGAACATGGTGAGCAATGTGTTGGCATGCCAGGCAGTGTCTCCTTGTTATTCAGGTGAACAGCAGTTGTGGGCTGGTACACTGGCCAGTTTCTGTCTCCTTCAGCATCAGCATGACATCACAATGGCCTGTGTCTCTCTTTCGGGTTGGACACATCAATGTGAGAACACAGTGGCCAGTCTGGGAAAAAGGCAGCATCAGCATGAGATCACAGTGGCCAGTTTTTCTCCCTCAGGTGGCTAGCATGGGCCACAGTGGGCAGCCCCTGTCCTTCAGGCAGGGAGCATCATCTTGTGGGGAGAGGCATTCATATGTCTTCATTCCTCTTCCACTCAGGCAGGCCGTAGCATGTGGACAGAATATTTATTTCTCTTATGGAAGCTGCCAAAAGCAGGTGCATGTCAACACAATCTCTTTCTCAGTGCAGCGGGCTTAGTTGAGAGCAGATGGGGACCCTGTATGTTCTTCTCTTAGTGAGGTGGTCAGCAGAACTATGAGTGTTGTGGTCATCTCACCGAAATGCGCAGCAGCATGCGGACAGAGAAGCAGCAGGCAAGGCAAAGAGCAGGCAAGTAGGCAATTAATCTATTACAGGGCCTCTCTATTTACAGGAAGTGGACGTGGGTGGTGCTGTGGTCTAAACCACAGAGCCTCTCATGCTAGCTGATCATGAGGTCAGCAGTTCAAGTCTTCATGAAGGGATGAGGCGCTGTTGCTTTGTCCCAGCTCCTGCCAACCTAGCAGTTCAAAAGCACACCAGTGCAAGTAAATAAAGAGGTACTGCTGCAGTGGGAAGGTAAACAGCATTTCCGTGCGCTCTGGTTTCCGTCACGGTGTTCCATTGCACCAGAGGCAGTTTAGTCCTGCTGGCCACGTGACCCAGAATGCTGTCTGTGGACAAACGCTGGCTCCCTCGGCCTGAAAGCGAGATGAGCGCTGCAACCCCATAGTTGCCTTTGACTGGACTTAACTGTCCAGCGATCCTTTACGTTTTACCTTTACCTGCCTTTTGTGTACAAATAAATGGGGTTGATTCATTACCTTGTTATTGTAGACCTCTGGTAAGGGAACCTAATATGCAGGAACAGGAGAGTAAAAGCAAGTTAAGAAACCCCAGTTTGGTCCAAGGTGCAAAGGACATAATTCTCATGAACATGGTGAGCAATGTGTTGGCGTGCCAGGCAGTGTCTCCTTGTTATTCAGGTGAACAGCAGTTGTGGGCTGGTACATTGGCCTGTTTCTCTCTCTTTCAGCATCAGCATGACATCACAATGGCCTTTGTCTCTCCTTCTGGTTGGACACATCAATGTGAGAACACAGTGGCCAGTCTGTGAAATAGGCAACATCAGCATGAGATCACAGTGGCCAGTTTTTCTCCCTCAGGTGGCTAGCATGGGCCACAGTGGGCAGCCCCTGTCCTTCAGGCAGGGAGCATCATCTTGTGGGGAGAGGCATTCATTCATCTTCATTCCTCTTCCACTCAGGCAGGCAGTAGCATGTGGACAGAATATTTATTTCTCTTATGGAAGCTGCCAAAAGCAGGTGCATGTCAACACAATCTCTTTCTCAGTGAGGCGGGCTTAGTTGGGAGCAGATGGTGGACCCTGTATGTTCACCTTAGTGAGGTGGTCAGCAGAAGTATGAGTGAAGTGGTCATCTCACCGAAATGGGCAGCAGCATGTGGACAGAGAAGCTGCTCCATAGTCGCCTTTAACTGGACTTAACCGTCCAGGGGTCCTTTACCTTTACCTTTTACCTTCCACGAATTCGTCTAATCCTTTTTTTAAAGCCATCCAAGTTGGTGGCCACCACTACTTCTCTCAATTCGCATTTTTCATACCAGGCATAATTTCACACATCTTTACCACAGGCAGTTTATCCCCCTCAGAGTTAAATTCCCATAAGAAATCAGTTTCTGGGATTTGTGTGTGTTAAATGTGATTTAAGGGTCTGCTGTGGATGGGACCTTAGTCATGAGTGTAGCCCTTTGTTACTTGCATAACAAGTGACACCTCCTTCCCTCCAGACCCTCCCAGGTATTAAGATCAGCAGAGGTGGTCCTCTTAGCAGTTCCATTACCTACACAGGTACAGTGGTGGTGACCCCCGAGAGGGAGTTTTCTGTGGCAGCCTCTAAGTTGCGGAATTCCCCACAGAGGTGCATCTGCCACCCTCATTGTACCATTGTCTCAGTACGTTTCTGAGCACAATTCAAGGGGTTGGTGCTGACCTTTAAAGCCCTCAATGACCTCGGCCCAGTATACCTGAAGGAGTGTCTCCACCCCCATCATTCAGCCTGGACACTGAGGTCCAGCTCCAAGGGCCTTCTGATGGTTCCCTCCCTGCAAGAAGTGAGGTTACAGGGAACCAGGCAGAGGGCTTTCTCGGTGGTGGCGCCCGCCCTGTGGAATGCCCTCCCATCAGATGTCAAGGAGATAAACAACTATCTCACTTTTAGAATACATCTGAAGGGACTCCTGCATAGGGAAGTTTTTAATGTTTGATTTCTTGTTGTTGTTTAGTCGTTTAGTCATGTCTGACTCTTCGTGACCCCATGGACCAGAACATGCCAGGCACTCCTGTCTTCCAATGCCTCCTGCAGTTTGGTCAAACTCATGCTGGTAGCTTCGAGAACACTGTCCCACCATCTCATCCTCTGTCGTCCCCTTCTCCTTGTGCCCTCAATCTTTCCCAACATCAGGGTCTTTCCAGGGAGTCTTCTCTTCTCATGAGGTGGCCAAAGTATTGGAGTCTCAGCTTCAGGATCTGTCCTTCCAGTGAGCACTCAGGGCTGATTTCCTTCAGAATGGAGAGGTTTGATCTTGTAGTCCATGGGACTCTCAAGAGTCTCCTCCAGCACCATAATTCAAAAGCATCAATTCTTCAGCGATCAGCCTTCTTTATGGTCCAGTTCTCACTTCCATACATCACTACTGGGATGATTACTTACTGTGTTTGATTTCTTACTGTGTTTTAATTTGTGGGAAGTTGCTCAGAGTGGCTGCGGTAACTCAGCCAGATGGGCGGGGTATGAGTTATAAATACTACTATTTATTAATACTAATACTAATAAAATATATATATATAATTATGCAATGTTCATCAAATTTTGAAGATGTTCCTCTTTATCCTGGCCTTTTACACACACACACACACACACACACACACACACACAAACAAACACTAATGCTGTATTTTATAATGTTGTAACCTGCCTTGGGACCTTCTTTCTGGTGGTGGCAGCAGCTGTAACATGGTGTTTTTGTTCCAGGGTGATAGGAGAGCAAAACATTGCTTTCTTCTCAGTGAAGTAAATGGTCTTAAACCCAGGTGCTCTGGGCTTAACCGGTTTGCACGCCATAAGCTAGGAGAGCAATTAACGGTGCCCTTTTAATGTTGCCTCTCAATACCTTGTTGGCTCCCCTCCCCACATGGCTCCTGGGTGTGGGGGGGCGGGGAGGGAAGGAGGAAGGTTGTCAAAAGCTCTTCTCCTTGTTCAGCAGTTTTCTGGAAAACAGGATAAGTGCCCGGCCCGTCTCCCATCAGCAAAAAATTAGCCGACTGAATGTAAAGTTCAGCCCCCTCCCCATGAACTCTAAGCCTCCAGACTATTCACTTTCCCAGCTGCTGAATAATAAATACCAACACTTACACATGCAGGGCAGGACAACATGCTGATGTAATCCTACAAAAGAACAGGCTACAGCTCTGCTCAGACAGGATTTCTTTTTCTTTAGAATTTAAAAGTCACATGCAGAGTCCTTCGAGGGTGACCCTTTACACGTGCTCCGAGCTTGAGGAACTTGATTATTTTGCCAGTCATGTCATATCTGGGTAAATCTGCTCCCTTGTTTTTCCTACTCACAGCCAGCTAAGGATAGGAGGGGAAATTTGGTTCACTTCACATTTTAATGCCAACCTATCTAATTTGAACTTCTCGCAACGAGACACAAACAAAAAAAACACACCTACCTTTTGGAGTTCTTCAGCTTTTGAGATGCGGTTCTCTAACCAAAATTGTACATTATTATTATTATTATTATTATTATTATTATTATTATCATCATCATCATTATCATTATTATTTTAAAAATGAGTATATTAGGGGAAAGTGGGCACAAAAATGTATGTATTACTGGGAATGACATACAACCCTGCATTGTATTAGCAAAGATTGTTTGAAAATCTTCGTATGCAAAATTTATGAATTTTCAGGCAAACTTGCTTTAAAACAATTGTGAAATGCATTATATGAGTAGAAATTGTAGCACTGTGAAACTGCTTAATAACAAGGCAAATCAGGTGTTTATGCCTCTCCCCAAGTCAACCGACAAAGTGCTCTGTGTCAGATCAGGCCCCTCACAAAGTCTGCAATGGGGTGTTCTTTTTTTGTACTACCTCCTTTTCTGTTGCTATGTCTCTGTGTTTCTCTATTGCCTGTCAAGGTCTCAAACCCTTTCGGGAAGTGGAATAAAGACACATGAAACAGTATTTTAGGTTAATGGGCGAAAAAGGCCACAACTTTATTGGTTACAGATTGTGAGTGGTATCGGCTTAGGCAATGGAAACCGCACGACTATATATGACTCCTGCCCGTCCGCAGGGAGTCTTGGAAGGGTTAACCACCAGTAGGCGGAGCCCTGCTGATGCACATCAACTAGGAACTCCCCAAGGGTCACCGAGAGGGGGCGTGCCATGGCCCTATCCCCCCCCATCTGGGGCTTCGGACAGAGACCACGCCCCCCAGATTCCTTTAACAGAATACCCTTGAAATGGGAGGGGTAGGTGATGGCCACTACCTCCCCTCACCTTCAACCTAATACTCCAATGCCTAACCGCCTAACCTTACAAAGTTGTGACGAATTGCTACTAGGTAGGCGAAAAACCAAATGTTGTTGTTGTTGCTGTTTAGTTGTTTAGTCATTTAGTCGTGTCCGACTCTTTGTGACCCCATGGACCAGAGCACGCCAGGCACTCCTGTCTTCCACTGCCTCCCGCAGTTTGGTCAAACTCATGCTGGTAGCTTTGAGAACACTGTCCAACCATCTCGTCCTCTGTCATCCCCTTCTCCTTGTGCCCTCCATCTTTCCCAACATCAGGGCCTTTTCCAGGGCGTCTTCTCTTCTCATGAGGTGGCCAAAGTAGTGGAGCCTCAGCTTCAGGATCTGTCATTCCAGTGAGCACTCCGGGCTGATTTCCTTCAGAATGGAGAGGTTTTATCTTCTTGCAGTCCATGGGACTCTCAAGAGTCTCCTCCAGCACCAGAATTCAAAAGCATCAATTCTTCGGTGATCAGCCTTCTTTATGGTCCAGCTCTCACTTCCATACACCACGAATGGGATGAGTTTCATAGCCAAATGTTTATTTTAACCTGGGCCACTCCACACAGGCTGGTGATGAACCACAACTGGGATGGTGCTCTGTTTATACAGCTACCCTTGCAGCTGGACCAGAACTGGAAGTGTGAAAGCAGCACTCGGCATCCATGATAAGCTTCCTCTTCTTCGGATTGCTTAACATGTTATGTCCTTTGGAGCTGTAACATCAAACCGAGTAAGAATTTCCCTTTTCTTCTCCTGGAGCTGGCTGCAGTAGTTCTCTCCCTTCCTACTCCCACTGCCTTTATCCTTAAGTAGTTACAGTTAATTTGAAGCAGCATGTTGTGTATGGGATACTTCAAATGGCTCTTTCCAGTGCGTTTTGCTTTTGTTAGCAGTGGATTTCACCCCCATTGTGTGTAGCCAGCCCAGTTGCTTAGCTTTTGTGTGGTCCAGCCGCATCACACCCCAAGGTGGTATGGTTGCAGGCAATGCCATTCCCCTGTTATTTACAATGGCTAATTAAGATCCCACTTGCAACTCTTCACCCCACCCTTAATTCTTATACGAAGCAGCCAACGAAAGGTTTTGATTTCCTTTTTGGCTGGAAGACCTTTTGGCTTCTGTGAGCAAAGGGGGATTAGGAAGGGAAAGCACATAAAGGTATGTGCAAAATCACCGCGTCAAAACTGCTCTCAGAACGCTGTCTCCAAGGGATGAAAAATGTTATGAGCAGAGAGGGCTAATTGGAAGCTGGTTCAGAGATTGCACACTGGGTGGTAAAGGCCAGCCAGGCAGGCACACGGTTTGATCAGCCACACAGCACAGACACGTCTAGCATTCCTCCCTTTTCGCAATTGTGGCTGACACCCTGGGAAAGATCCTTTTTTTCCATCTAGCCCCCGCAGCAGCCCAGATGCAGGAATCAACTGTAGCACAAACAAAATGTCACATCTTCCTCGTTTTGGAGGGGTTGGAACAAATTCTGGGCCAAAATCTGTTCTGGCCCCATCCTAAGCATGCTGAGAAGTTCCACTGGGTTCCGTGAGACATACTCCCAAGCAAGCATACATAGGATCACAGCTAGGAGGTCATGGACATTTTCCTCCCCATGGTCTATGGGCAGAAATCAATCAACCCACCTTGGCTAAATTTAGCACGTACTGATCGTGATCTGATTCAAAGATCTAGGAACTGAAGGTCACCACTGCTCTGAATTCCCAGCAAAATATTTATGTGATCTTAAGAGAAACAAAAGTGTGGATCCATAGCGCTGAAGGACGGAGACAAAGCCTGAGTTGCTGTCCAAAGACAAAGAATTCTGGTTCCTCCTCTACCACCTATCATTCAGTAATCCCATGCTCTACTGATGGGGCCTGCCTGGTGTAACCCTACCCAGGGTTGGCCATCCTCCTATCACCCTTGGTTTCTGTAAGACTCAGCTCCTTCCCCTTCCTTCTCAGATCTCACATAGAAGGTTGACACGTTTTAATTTGGCACATTATGGACAGATGAACCAGCTTTACATCCTATCAGGGTGGCAAAATGAGTAGGAAAGAACATATATGGTAGTATGATAGGTATATCTAATCACATTCTTTCAATTGTCAGATGTACAGCCAGAACACAGGGCAGTCCTGGATGTATGAATTACTCCTTCAATCAGTTACAGTGCTATTTAATCACATCTAAGGGTAGCGCTGTGGATTAAACCGCAGAGCCTAGGACTTGCTAATCTGAAGGTCGCGGTTCGAATCCCCGTAACGGGGTGAGCTCCCGTTGCTCAGTCCCTGCTCCTGCCAACCTAGCAGTTCGAAATCATGTCAAAGTGCAAGTTGATAAATAGGTACCGCTCTGGCGGGAAGGTAAATGGCGTTTCCGTGCGCTGCTCTAGTTGGCCAGAAGCGGCTTAGTCATGCTGGCCACATGACCCGGAAGCTGTACGCCGGCTCCCTCGGCCAATAAAGCGAGATGAGCGCCGCAACCCCAGAATCGTCCGCGACTGGACCTAATAGTCAGGGGTCCCTTTACCCTTTACTTTTACTAAGTCCTATATACTGCAACATTTTTTTCATAACTATTATTTAGATATATTACCAATGCACCTCCCTAGCTAAGCAGTCCCTGGTCGTTGTTGCTAAGTGGATGTATTTATTGTGTTTGTGAATTTTCTCTCTTAACACAAAATAAATTGTTTCACACTACACTATAATTGTTGTGGTTATGTTAAAGTGCCGTTGTATAATTTTGTACTGTATGACGCTGTGATGCCGTGGACTTATAAATAAAATGAAGAAGAAGCATGAGGATGCGATGTGCATTTTATTTAGAAAATTGTTGTGTGTGCATCTGCTGAAACTCAAATTTGAGCTAATTTATATTTTTAATATTGGGCTTTGGGCAGGAGTGGAGTGAGATTTTAAAGCAACAGTTTAGGAGATGGATGCAAATCCGGATATTTCTCCTCATTTTACAAAGAGGCCCAGACTTCAGCTGAGGAGCACAGTTACAGTCCACACACAGGTAACAAAAGAGCCCATTTCTTCCCATGTGAAAAGGACAACAATGACCGGTACAGTCCATTGGTGTTTAAAAGTCACAGTAGGAAGTGGATTAAGGCTACAGTTCTAATTCCACTTACAGTACCTGTGAGCAAGCTCCAGCAAGCTCAGTGGGACATACTTCCGAGTAGACCTGGTTAGAATTGCCGCCTTGGTGCACAGTGGCTGCTTCTAAGCAACGAAACAACTTAGACAGTAAATAAACCAAACTACACTTTGGGGGGGAAGAAAAGCAATGAGGCGTTTGTTGGGTCAGTAGCAATTATATACCAGTGCATGTGCAAATAATAGATATTGCAAAGCTACACTACACTTGATCTTAGCCAAAAGGCTGAGAAGCTTCTCAGCCTTTTGGCTAAGATCAAGTGTAGTGTAGATATCACAAAGCAATTTATGTATGTATCTACGTACAATATGTGCATGTTTAAAAAAGCAACACTAAGGCAGAAAACATTCACAGCAAGGGTCTGTGCCAGGGGTAGGCAACCTAAGGCCCGTGGGCCGGATGTGGCCCAATCACCTTCTCAATCCAACCGGTGGGCAGTCCAGGAATCAGCGTGTTTTTACATGAGTAGAATGTGTCCTTTTATTTAAAATGCATCTCTGGGTTATTTGTGGGGCATAGGAATTGGTTCACATATTTTTTTCAAAATGTAGTCCTGCCCACCACAAGGTCTGAGGGACAGTGGACTGGCCCATGGCTGAAAAAAGGTTGCTGACCCCTGGTCTATGCAATGATGGAGGGAGGGCTAGAGCCCGTCATTCTGACCCCTTAGCTTTCTATGTCTATAACATCCCACTTGCAGTCCAAAGTGATTCGCTCCAGGAACAGGTGGGTTACCTAAGGGAGAATTCAACCCTAGCTGAGAAAATAGTGCTATAGTCACAATCTGCATGGTCTGCTTCAACCTGATGTTTGGCTTCTGAGTCACTCTGTACAAGCTCTATGTATCCTCATTCAAGGCAGTCGATGGTGGATCTAAAAATAGCTATATTTACACACACACACACACCTTTGGGGGCCAAAGTGGGTTACATTTACAGGCACAGGAGCTCCTCCGGACTGGATTAAGCCTGCAAAATCATGAATTGGTCCATGGGCTCTTTGTGGAGGAAGTAAAACCAGTGGGTTTTTCCTGGGGGGGACGCAGGGGTACGCATTCCCCTAAACATTTTGTGAATCTTTGTACTTTTGTCCATTTACTGTATTTATTTTCCCCGATTTGAACTATAAAATGGTGATTTTCTTGAGTCGAAATGAGAGTACCCTTAAATATTATTTTTTTGAGAAAAAGAAGCACCGGGTAAAACAGGTTCACTTTCCTCCATCATTCCTTACAAGGCATGGGAAATGGGGGTCCATCACTTTCTTAAAGGTAACGGTAAAGGGACCCCTGACCATTAGGTCCAGTCGTGACCAACTCTGGGGTTGTGGCGCTCATCTCGCTTTACTGGCCGAGGGAGCCGGCGTACAGTTTCCGGGTCATGTGGCCAGCATAACTAAGCCGCTTCTGGTAAACCAGAGCAGCGCACGGAAATGCCGTTTACCTTCCCGCCAGAGCGGTACCTATTTATCTACTTGCATTTTGACGTGCTTTCAAACTGCTAGGTTGGCAGGAGCAGGGACCAAGCAACGGGAGCTCACCCTGTCGCGGGGATTCGAACCGCCGACCTTCTGATCGGCAAGCCCTAGGCTCTGTGGTTTAACCCACAGCGCCACCCGCGTCCCTCCATCACTTTCTTACCTTGAAATAATTAAAAGGTGGTCAAGTGGTGGTGTATTCCTGCTTGCACATTTACAACTTGATAGGCTTACTGTTTCTTTCTGGTGGTTGTTTGTGGCGGCTGATATACTTCGCAGCCTTCCTGATCGGCCTTTGGGGGTCTCTGATAGGCCTTACAATTTGAGGCTGTCAAGAAGGCTGCCTGCAGAGTTATGAAGAACTGGGGAGGTTTTTGTCTTGACTTTTGCTAAAGCAGAGGAATGTAGGATTTTTAAAAAACTGAAGGTATTATTTTAACTTATAACAAACAAACGACCCATCCACTGCTGTGTTTTAACCTGTGCTTTTTTTTCCTTAAAAAAAAATGTTTAGGGGTACTCTCATTTTGACTCAAGAAAATCACAACTTTATCGTTCCAATTGGGGAAAATAAATACAGTAAATGGACAAAAGTACAAAGATTCACAAAATGTTTAGGGGTATGCGTACCCCTGCTTACCCCCAGGGGGGGGAAAGCACTGGTTTTAACAATCAGCTATCCCAAGTTGTTCTGTACTATCTGCTGGAAACATTTTTGAGTGTTCACTTTTTGCAAAGAAACATAGAAATATTATATAGGGAAAATAGAGCTGTGTCAGCCCTGAAAAGCACAGCAACTGTGTGCTCTGTAGCTTTATGAGAACCCCATTCTACCTGGCAGGTGGGAATATTGGCATTGTGGAAGCCTTTGCATTTCTCAAACTTTATCGCCTACATTGCCCCTTGTTCTTCCCCCCCCCCAAAAATAACATTTATTATTTTCAGTAGATAAACATAGTAAAAAAAGAAAAGATTAACAATAATAAAACCAAACAAAAAATAGGAGAAAAAGAGAAAGAAAGAAAAAGATACATACAACATATTACCACTTAATTAATTAAAATTAAGTACCATCCGTCTTCATAAACATAGTATTTGACTTCCTCGAATCTCTTCCATCCGAATTTCTTAGTAATTATATGTAGCAGTTTCCAATATCAGAGTTTCAAAAAACCATATCACAGTCCTAATCATATTACATAGCTTTCCTTATCGTACATTTTCTTATTTATAAATTTAATTCCGTTTTAATCCTAGGCCTAATTGTTCCTTTCAAGTGGTTACATATCTTTAATATTACAATACTTATTCAAATAGTCTTTAAATTTCTTCCAGTCTTCTTGGTGTTCCTCTTCTTTCTGGTCGTGGATTCTCTCTTGTTCTTCATGGAAGGATCGACTACTTACCCACGGTCTTCATCTGTTGTGAGAAGACGAAAGGCTTTGGGGGCTTCTTGTGAACTAGAAGGAAGTGAATATAAATCAAGCTGTCACATCTGAAGAGGTTCTCCTGAATGCCATTCCAACCGGTAATCTGAGCTGTGGATTCTTCCTATCTCATGAGAAATCTCCCTTTTCAAAGAGTGTACCACTCAGCTCTAGTCAAGACAATTCTATAACCAAGGGAATAATCCTTGGTGGTTTCCTTACAGCATTTTTGTGTCCATTTGCCAGAGCATAATGCCTAATTCAGAATCATTTAAAAGTGATTAGCAACATCCTTACACCATTCTGTTGCACACACGATCAAGGTAGTTAATGAATTGTGAGGAGCTGGGCTTATCTTATGCTGTAAGTGCTTGCTCAGTAGTTTTCAAGTTCCAGATTAATCAACATTGGTGTGAAAACCTGTGTATGTAGGCAGTCTCGGTCATATGTGGATGCTAAGTAGGTGATTTGATAGCAGACTTTGTTGTTGTTGTTTAGTCGTTTAGTCGTGTCCGTCTCTTCGTGACCCCATGGACCAGAGCATGCCAGGCACTCCTGTCTTCCACTGCCTCCTGCAGTTTGGTCAAACTCATGCTGGTAGCTTCGAGAACACTGTCCAACCATCTCGTCCTCTGTCGTCCCCTTCTCCTTGTGCCCTCCATCTTTCCCAACATCAGGGTCTTTTCCAGGGAGTCTTCTCTTATCAAGAGGTGGCCAAAGTATTGGAGCCTCAGCTCCAGGATCTGTCCTTCCAGTGAGCACTCAGGGCTGATTTCCTTCAGAATGGAGAGGTTTGATTTTCTTGCGGTCCATGGGACTCTCAAGAGTCTCCTCCAGCACCATAATTCAAAAGCATCAATTCTTTGGCGATCAGCCTTCTGTGTACCAAATAAGCATCTAATCACAAACTGAAGCTGAAGAAGAGGCATGAGTTAACTTTGGAACCTGAACAGGGAACCATTACCGAAGCAATGCTGTCATGACACACATGAATCAATGGAAAAATAATAACCAGGACATTCTTTGTTTGTATATGCCAAGCATAGCAGCAGCTCAGATATTTATATATGCCTGTAAAGGTTTCAAGTGTGTAGTTAATTTGATTAGATTATTTCCCGCCCTTATAATGGGACTCTAGATTTATACTTTTAAGCCTTTGAGCTTATTAATTGGAGCCCTAAAGCTCTGTCTGGCCTGTGAAAGTACACTGGAGCGCAGCAGGGCAGCCTTCCATCAGGAAAGAGAGCCGCAAGAGAGAATGAAGACTGACAACATGGCTGCAACAACAAAAAAGGAGTGAAAGGGATCAAAACCAGTGACAGGACCCTCCTTGGAAAGTACATCTTCTGAATACAACATGGGTGCCAAAGCACTGTAGAACATTTTAAATTTGGGAGGATGGGAGCTCATCGCCAAGAGATGCCTTAGGAAGCCAGTTCTCCTCCATGCATTCATGGGAATCATACTAACTTAGCTTAGGGATGCAGGTGGCGCTGTGGGTTAAACCACAGAGCCTAGGGGTTGCCAATCAGAAGGTCGGCGGTTCGAATCCCCGCGACGGGGTGAGCTCCCGTTGCTCGGTCCCTGCTCCTGCCAACCTAGCAGTTCGGAAGCACATCAAAATGCAAGTAGATAAATAGGTACCGCTCTGGCGGGAAGGTAAACGGCGTTTCCGTGCGCTGCTCTGGTTTGCCAGAAGCGGCTTAGTCATGCTGGCCACATGACCCGGAAACTGTACCCCAGCTCTCTCGGCCAATAAAGCAAGATGGGCGCCGCAACCCCAGAGTCGGCCACGACTGGACCTAATGGTCAGGGGTCCCTTTACCTTTACCTTTACCTTTACCTTAGGGGGTTAGCCTAGTGCCCTCCAGATGTTTCTGGACTTCAACTCCCATCATCACTCACCATTGCTCGTGACAGGGCTGATGGGAGTGGGAGCCCTACAACATCTGGAGGACACCTGGCTACAGCAGCTGTATCATGACCTACTTTGGAACAGTGCTTTTTTGTGATGGTACTCACCAGTACAGCATAACATCACCTCTTCATTTTGCTGTCCCTGCCAACCATGTTGTGTGGGCATCTCCAGCACAGTTATGCATTTCTGCATCTGTGCTCTTCTGAGAAGATTTGCTGGTTTCGTTCCTGCCATGTTCTATTCTTAGGAATGCTTGAAGCATAGGTGTCAGGGGCTGGGGGGGGGCCGCCTCCCCATTCTGACCCTTCCAGGGCGGAGGAAGAGGAAGAGTGCTTGAAGGCGGTTGGAAGATGGATGGTGGCTAACAGATTGAGGTTGAATCCTGACAAGACAGAAGTACTGTTTTGGGGGGGACAGGGGGCGGGCGGGTGTGGGGGACTCCCTGGTCCTGAATGGCGTAACTGTGCCCCTGAAGGAGGAGGTGCGCAGCCTGGGAGTCATTTTGGACTCACAGCTGTCCATGGAGGCACAGGTTAATTCTGTGTCCTGGGCAGCTGTCTGCCAGCTCCATCTGGAACACAGGCTGAGACCCTACCTACCTGCAGACTGTCTTGCCAGAGTGGTGCATGCTCTAGTTATCTCCCGCTTGGACTACTGCAATGTGCTCTCCGTGGGGCTACCTTTGAAGGTGACCCAGAAACTGCAATTAATCCAGAATGCAGCAGCTAGACTGGTGAGTGGGACTGGCCACCGGGACCACATAAGACTAGTCCTGAGAGATCTGAATTGGCTCCCAGTACGTTTCCGAGCACAATTCAAAGTGTTGGTGTTGACCTTTAAAGCCCTAAATGGCCTCGGTCCTGTATACCTGAAGGAGGGTCTCCACCCCCATCGTTCGGCCCGGACACTGAGGTCCAGTGCTGGGGGCCTTCTGGCGGTTCTGGGAACCAGGCAGAGGGTCTTCTCGGTAGTGGCGCCCGGCCTGTGGAATGGCCTCCCTTCAGATGTGAAGGAAATAAGCAGCTATCTTATCTTTAAAAGACATCTGAAGGCAGCCCTGTTTAGGGAAGGTTTTAATATTTAACGCTGTATTGTTTTTAACACTCGATTGGAAGGTGGCACCCAGAATGGCTGGGGGAACTCAGCCAGATGGGCGGGGTATAAATAATAAATTATTATTATTATTATTATTATTATTATTATTATTATTAGACAGTATAGATTTACAACAGAGGTTTGAGGGAGGTCACAGCTCAGAGGCAGATGAGAGGAGAAGTTGGGAAATCATGGGAGAAGAGGAGAAGGCTGGCTCGGAGCAGTAGCTGGCTGACATGTTGTCGCTAGAAAGCATTCCATTCCCACCATCTCTTAGAACCAAGTGAGCCTTAAAAGTAGGAGAGCAAAGAGCTCATAGACAGAGGGCACCTAGCGGCACCCGTAGAGGAGATAATAATATAATAAATAATAAATTTTATTTATACCCCGCCCTCCCCAGCCAAGACCGGGCTCAGGACGGCCAAGACCAGGTGTAAAACCATTGATTAAAATACAACTTAAAAACAAGATTAAAATACAACATTAAAATGCAGCCTCATTTCAGAAGAAACTCAAAGCAAAACCTTTTGGGGGGATGAAAACGTCAAATCTTCACCAAGGCCAACTATCCACACTGGTCCTACTTGGGCCAAATAAAAACCCCAAATAGGAGTTCTATCACAGAAGGAGAAAGGAAAAAGGATAGAGGGGAAGGGTAAGTTGATTCCAAGCCAAAGGCCAGGCGGAACAACTCTGTCTTACAGGTCCTGCGGAAAGAAATCAGATCCTGCAGGGTCCTGGTCTCATGAGGCAGAGCGTTCCACCAGTGTTGAAATGTGTTGAAAAGGCCCTGGCTCTGGTTGAGGCTAATCTGACTTCCTTAGGGCCTGGGACCTCTAGGGTGTTGCTATTTATGGGCCTTAAGGTCCTCCGTGGGGCATACCGGGAGATGCGGTCCCGTAGGTGATGATGTGGGAGAGAACGGGGATGGAGGTTCACTCAGAACAACGCCAATATCCAAGAGGCTGGGTTCTATAGCCTCTTTCTGTAAAGTCTGAAATAAAAAAAGACAATAAGAAACTTTTCCTTGTCTTTATACTTTCCTGGGCAACCGGCCGGGAACTGCTGACGGCATCCTGACAATAGGTGTCCAGCTGCAGGATGAGATGATAAGGGTATCATATGGTTGGAAATGACCTCAACGGTCAGCCCTCTGCTAATCCAGGACACCTACTGGTCTCAGCAGCCCAGCTAGGTGGGCATCGTAGGTGGGCAACTTCTCTTTTAAAACCTCTAACCAAGGAGTGTTTGCCGCCTTCCCAGGCAGTCTGCTCCACCGTCAAATAGCCTGTATCATCTGGAAATTCTTTCTCATGTTCAGCTGAAATCCCCTTCCTTGCAATTTGAACCTCTCTGGAGCATCAGAGAACAGATTCGCGTCGTCTTTCATGTGACAGCCCATCAAACATTCTCGCCCACTTCTGTTATTTCGTTTCTTTAGAATGGGTTGCATCCAACATTGTACAAGCAGAGTTGTTCTGGAATAACTGGATGGTCTTGCTTTTCCCACCCCAGTGCAGCATCTTGTGTCTTCCTCCCCCCCCCCCAAAAAAATAAACCCTCCCTTGGAGGTCACAGGACGCAGAGGAAAATCCTGGGGTGGGGTGCTGGATCAGGATGGAGGAACAGCAGGAATTTTTTTTTGGCTGTCTCGCATAGTCGAAATGTCTGTCCATTTAGATACAACCAAATGTTTTCTTCTCAAAATGCTTTAAATTCACCCAAGCCGAGGAATCGGAACAGAGAAGAAAGCTCTGCCCATTCTGCTGCACTCACAGAACCTAAGGACAGAGGGGTACCTACACAACCTTACTTTCTCCTCTGCCCTGTCAGCGTCAATCGATTCATATTTGTTTTCAGCACAATAACTGCTTCAGCATAGTTCCAAGCCACTCTGCTAATACCACCTTTATTTTACTGGATCTAGTTGGGGAAATCAGCACTGGGGAGTCTGGTCTTTTTGTTTAATATCTCCCCCACCCCTTCAGATTATTGCAGTGGCAAATGGTCCATTTTTCTGTATTAACATCTACCTCCCTCCAGAAGCGTAGGAAGGTCAGGTGGTACCCAGTGCAGAAAATTTCTTGTCACCCCCCCCATTGATTTTCTTTTTTTTTTGGCCTGCAAAAATGGTTTTATGTTATTTCATATTTTCTTACAAAGGAA